TTAATACTGATACTCATACTCATACTATACTAACTACTATATTTAATATTAATACTAATAACATTAATACTAATACTAATACTAATACTAATACTAATATTAATACTAATACTAATTCTAATACTAATACTAACACTAATATTAAATACTAATACTAATACTAATACTAATGTTAATACTAATAGTGATACTAATACTAATATTGGTACAAATACTGGTACTAATACTAATACTAATACTAATACTAATATTAATACTAATACTAATACTAATACTAATACTAATACTAATACTAATACTAATATTAATACTAATACCAATACTAACACTAATACTAATACTGATATTAATATAATATTAATACCGATACTAATAATGATACTAACACAAATATTAATACTAATTGTGATACTAATAGTAATACTAATACTAATAATAATAATGATACTAATACTAATACTCATACTCTTACCAATACAAATATTAATACTAATAATAAAACTAATACTAACACTAATATTCATATTGATACTAATACTAATACTAAGAATCAAACTAATATTGATACTAATACTAATAATAATATTGATACTTACAATGATAATTATAGTGATACTGATACTAATACTAATACTAATACTAATATTAATACTAATACTAATATTAATACTAATACTGATACTAATACTAATATTAATACTAATACTCATACTCATACCAATACTAATAATAATACTAATACGTACTAATACTAATATTCATATTGATACTAATACTAATACTAAGAATAATACTAATATTGATACTAATACTGATAATAACACCGATACTTTCATTGATAATGATAGTTATATTGATACTAATACTAATACTAATACTAAGAATAAGACTAATATTGAGACTAAAACTAATAATAATATTGATACTTATAGTGATACTAATAGTGATATTGATACTAATATTAATACTAATAGTAATACTAATACTAATTAATACTAAGACTAATACTGATACTAATAACAATAATAATTATGATACTGATACTAATACTATACTCATACTGATACTCATAGTAATATTATATTAATACTAATATTAATACTGATACTTACACTAATACTGATACTCATAGCAATATTAATATTAATACTAATACTAATACTAATACTGATATCAATATTGATACTGATATTAATACCGATACTCATAGTGATACTAATAGTAATACTAATACTAATATTGATACTCATATTGATACTCGTCGTACAATACTGATACTCATACTAATATTGATACTCATGCTCATACAAGTACTAACAATCATACTGATACTCATACTAATACTGATATTAATGTTGATGTTGATATTGGTACTAATATTGATACTAATAGTGGTACTAATATCGATACTGATAATGATATTGATATTGATACTGATACGCATACTCATACTGATACTGATATTGATACAAATGTTGATATTGATACTGATACTAATACTAATACTAATACGGATACAAATACTGAAACTGAAACTGATATTGGTACTGATACAGATATGATATTGATATTGATATTGATATTGATATTGATATTGATATTGATATTGATATTGATACTGATACTGATACCGATACCCATACCGATACTGATGCCGATACTAATGTCGATATCGATAATTATACCGATACTGATATTGATACCGATATTGATATTTAGACTAATATTAATATTAATATTAATACTAATATTAATACTAATACTAAAACTAATATTAACACTAATATTAAGACTAATATTAATACTAATACTATTACTAATATTATTACTAATACTAATATTAATACTAATATTAATACTGATATTAATACCATTTCTTATACTAATATGTTAATATTGTTAACGTTAATGCTAATGTACATATTCTAATTCTAATACTAATTTTAATGTTAATGTTAATCTGGATATGCTTATGTTGATTATAAGTGTAATACTAATATTATCCAAATCCTTATCCTATTCCCAATCATATTCATATATAACATTAACCATGATTATAATCCTAATCATAATTCTAATCCTAAACCTATTTCTAACATTAATTATAATCCTAATAATCTTACTACTGATAATACTAATGCTAATGCTAATGTTAATTCTAATTACAATTATAATTATAATTCTAACCATAATCCTAATCCTAATGCTAATCATAATCATAATACTAATACATGTCTCTAATTGTAGTACTAATCAATAATCATAATCTTAATTATAATTCTAATACTAATCTTAATCATAATCATAATCCTAATCCTAATATTAATTATAATACTATATTAATCCGAATCCTAATCATAGTATTAATACCAATACTAATTCAAAGAATATTAATTATAATCGTAATTCTAATGCTAATACTAATCACAATCCTAATTTTGATTTTGCATCAATGTTTTTGCAATGATCTATTATTTTGTATAATAAACAATTATATTCAATGTCGCAACTTTTATATCAAATTCCTTATGTGTGGTACCTGATACATCAAGAAACACATATTAAATATATTAGAAATTAATATTTAATTATATTATCAAACTGACATTAAAATTATTTGAAATAATGTAAGGGTATAAGCAAACATTAAGACGTGAAAAGAACGATAATCGTTGTTAATAGGATAAATTATGAAAATCCTCATGAACTTAGGCTAAATTACGGAAAGCACCCCTATTTATCGGTAATTACCAAAATCCCCCAGATGTTTGTTTATGTCTTACACGACCCCCTTATGGTGTGATTTTTTACGGAATCTTTTTTTATTCCATGTAATATGTGGATTCTACCCTTGCAGACGTGACATTTCTTTTATCTTACTTTTTAAATACAAAAAATACCTTTAGGGGAGGTAATAGTAATACTAAAAAGTTGTGAAGATTTTAAGAAGAAAAAATATTTCGTGTAAAGTGCCCCTTACGGTAATTTTTGTCTTTGAAAAGTACCATAAACAAATATCGTGTGCAAGGTAGAATCTGCATTTTCGGTGAATATTCCACGTAATAAAAAAAAAATTCCGTGAAAAATCACACCGTAAGGGGGTCGATGTAAGATGGAAGCAACCATCAGGGAAATTTTTACGATACACATTCTCTGGTCATGTTCATGTATAATGTATAATATCAAATGATTTATTCTGCAATATTTTGTTATATAAATCCAAGTTTATGAATTAAAATACACAATTTTCGTAACACCGTCAATCATACAATTATAATAGGTGAAGATTTTAAATTGAATTTAAATTAAATTAATTACTATTGAAATTAAATTAAAAAATAAAACTATTTAGAGTTTTCCAATAAAGTTGATATATTTAAAGTATTTTATAAATGGTATGATATAAAAATATAATTAAATAATTAATATCTTTTTAATTTTGGAAAATAGTGACATGTTTTTTGATGATTTATTTTCACCAATCAATTTGCCACATTGGATGAAATTAAGGACATGTCATCATTTGAAATTGACAAATGTCAATCAATTAGGCATGCAATTCAACTTTTATATATTATATAGATTATTTTTTTTATTTTTTTTTATTTAGAAAAGTTTGGATTATTAATTAAACATACACTTTCTGCGTATTAATACTAAAATATAATTCTTCCATGATCTTACCTACCTCTTAATCCCCATGTTTTCTGCAATTCTACTCTTGTGAAAATAAAACCTTATTTTTTTGTATTTATCTACTTTGGTTTATTTTCTTAGTCAAACGAATCACCTTTAGTTAGGTCTTAGGTTGTTAAACCATTAGTCATCTAAATCTAATTTCAATCTTTTGTAATGACTTGCTTGTTTCTAATCACGATTAGCTATTTAATTAACATAAACAAATTATTTATGTAGATTTACGATTTAAAACACATGGTGTATTCGACCAAGTGTAAAATCTAATAATCGGTACCTATCCATCACAAATGCACTTGTTGTCACATAAATATAATATGTATGTGTTTAAAAAACAAGGGCTCAAATACTAATAATAAATCTAAGTCTTTAATTTCATGGCTCAAGTTTGATGTATAAGCAAACATGACTAAGATTTGTTGGAAACTTCGATTAAAATATTATTAATTGAAGGATTAATTAAAAAAATAAACAAAACAGTGATTAATCTAAAGACAACGTAGAACACAATCTAAGCTGACACAGGTTTGCAGAGATTACTCCAAGAAGCAGCTACAAGATTCTTCCTCTTCATCGAATACACCCCCTTTCAATTATTTATTGCATTTATATCACTACCTTTTTTTAATTTTGGGGATAATATTCATACATAATTTATACTCCATAATACATTTATGTGTGTAAATCAAATGTGAAAATTACTCGATATATTGACCAACTTTCTCGAGTCCAAAACGAGCCCAAGCTCGTGCTCAAAGTACTTTTTTTTTTCCGAAGTCATTTGAGCTCTAATCAGCTCATATCTCGTTCGAGATCAAATATTTATTGTTTTAGAGATCGAAAAGAGAAAATCCAACGTATTTGTCACTCTAGAATTTTAATGATGTATAAATAGTATATTTATAAATTTTACCATTTATCACTCTTAAGTCTTAACTAGTTTAAAAATATTTTAATGAGAAACATTATATTTTGGTCACTTTGTATGTATTATGCTATAATTCTTGTACACTTATTAAATTTTTTTATTATGCGCAAAAACAACATAAAACGACTTATGCGAACTCCTTCAATAGGTAAATTTGAATTTGTAAGGATGGACGTATAAAACAATACATAGTTGAGGGGATGATTTTTTCGTAATTTAACTTCACCTCAAGGGCCTGACCGTAAGTTGCCCTAATATTTTATTGTGTTTTGGAAGCAATTTGTGGACCACGTAAGCCCAAAAATCACACACTTAACATTAGGGGTGGTTTCGGTACGGTTACCGAACATTTTGTTCAATACCGTGTACCTACCGTATCTTTCGGTATTGAAAAATTCTATACCGTTACCGTACCAACAATTGCGGTATACCGTTATTCGGTATACCGTTAGTTTCGGTACGTGGTAATCTACCGTACGTCATTTTGTTGATGAACTCGGATGATACAATAATTAAGATGAATACTAATTAAATGCATAAATACAACAAATTAAGCAAATAAATATGGTAATCAAACAATTTACATGAATATACATTATACGACCGTAATAGCGTATGTTGCTTCAATTAACTAATGATTACTAAGATATGTATAGAAAAATTGTAGAAATTAATGAGCAAAAAGTTTCATGGTTTAAGTAAGATAAATAAAAAAATTATGTTGTAATAATGCAAATGAAACAAAAGGGTGAGAATTTAGGGGGGAAAGAAAGGGAGAAGAAAATTATGGCAAAAAATATTCCACCAATAAGAGATTAGTTGGACTTTAAAACTAAAGAAGTACGTGAAATAAACAACTTTAACGAGAACCAAATTAAATATTGAGTTTGCATAAATATATGAAAATAATAAAAAAATAGAATTATGTATATATAATATATATAGGATGTATCATATCTTTATTCTTGTTTTTTATTTTTATTTTATAATATTTGTTGACTATATTTTTTATATTTACAATATAAAGGGTAAAATATATTAACTAATTTTTAAAATACAAAGTTACGGTACGGTACGGTATTACCATGGTATTGAAGATACAATACCGCTACCGTACCGTAAGATAATGGTACGGTACCGATACCATACCAAATGTAGTGGTAACCAATAGTTCGGTATTTATTCGGTAATTGTTGGTAGGTATACCGTGGTAATCGGTATTTGGTAATTTTTGCCCAGCCCTACTTAACATTAAAAGTAGGCCTTTTCTAAGTAAAAAGCCCATCAAAGGAAACCATAAATCAGAATTTAAAAACGATTAGGATGCCGAAATTCGGGTGAATTGCATTTTGCACCCCATAATTAATACCAATTGGCGCTTTGCACCCCAATATTTTAAAATTGGTAAAGTCCACCCTCAAATTATATTTTTCATGGCACAATACACCCCACACCAATTGCTTACGAGACTTTAACCCAAAAATCAATATATCATGATACATTTACATTTGAAGGATTTTCATGCTTAATGATATATTATAGTTTCTACATTTTAGTTAAAAAAAAAATTGTGAAGACTTATTTTAATTAATCCATTTAACTACACATTTAAAAGAATTCAAATTCTTTGGATGTGTATAATATCACAATATATTATTGAGTTTTGGCTAAAATATCCCAAGAAATTGAGGTAGGGTGCATTTTGCCATGAGATATATTTTGTAAGTGTGGACTTTGCCAATTTTCAAATAATAGGATGCAAAACGCCAACCACTGTTAATCTTGGGGTGCAAAACGCAATTCACCCTCGAAATTAATACATTTGGTTTTCATCTTAAATTGATCCGAATAAAGAATAGTATTTTGTCTTTAAATTAGTACCAACAATCGAAAATTGTAATATTCTTCCTAATTATAAGTACCTTTTAATGGAATTGTTCTTCCATGAACCATGGAAATGCCATGGAAAACACATTTAAAGAATATATCGTACTATTTTTCAAGATTTATTCCATGCTATAATCATGTGAATTTTTACTGCCAACCCCCTAAAGTAATACCAAATTACAAATATTCCCTCATGTTTGGATAATTACAGTCACCCACCTTTCAACTATGTAGTGTCTTAACTTTCACCCTTATACTTTAGAGGGTGGTTTTAATTACCCAAACTATAAGGGTCTGTTCGTAATTTAACCTTATTTCAGAAGGGTGACCGTAATTCGGGAGGAAAACAAAAAGTGGGCACAATTTGAGGTTCGTTTTTAGTTGATGAATCACTCGTCAACGTGGTAACGTGGTATGCATTATCTATGTGGATTACGGGTCGAATTTTAATTGCATAAATTATTCTTCTTGTCCAAAATCTAGACGAATCTAAACACACACAAATTGCACTGTTAAGTCAAATGCCTATGGAATTAAAAGCAATTTTGTAATATATATTGTACCATCGAATTTTAAAAAATAAATAAAAGCATCTAATTCTTGACCCCTCTTGGTGAATTTTGTTCTCATAAAATCAAATAAAAATTAAAGAAATGAAGCTTTTGAAATTTGAATCTTGAAATTGGTGGGCGAGAAAGACATTGATCCATATGCTCCTATTATTATTATGTATTTTATATTATATTTAAGTGAATTAAAACAAAACAATTCCGGATTTTATATTTATATTTCGAAACATTTTCATTTCAATTTCCAAAAATAAATTCGGAACAAAATTTGAATTCAATTTTCACTTTTGAGATTTTTTTTTTCAACAAGTGTAAATGACTCAATTCCGATCTGATTCTAATTTCCAACTAAGTGTAGTGTCACTCGTAAATGCGGATAAAGGAATAGTATATATAATTATTAGTAATTATTTTTTATTTATTTATTAACTAATAAATATTGGTGAATATATTTCATATGTAGTCATGCATAAAATCGTTGTTAGTCGATCTATTTGATGTCGGAAATCAGTAGCTCACCGGAACACACATGCGCCGGCACGGGCCACTCAAAGCTGCAGACATAAGTCTCTCATGCGCACGCGCTTCCACACGCATCAAGTTGACTTTGACCGTTAATTTTTTGGTCATACTTTTGATGCGCTACCACCCATCAATCCTATGTGAAAATATTTTGTCATACAGTAGAACTTTTATAAATTAATACTCGATAAATTATTAATAATTTTGTCGTGTCCCGGTTCGGTAAACGTATATTCAATTATTAGTTCGATAGTTTAATATTTCGTTAGATGATAATTATTCTTTTGAGACACAACTAATTAGAAGTCCTTGTGATTAATTATCTAATCTATGTTAATGCCACCAATATTAATTCGTCTGGCTAATTAGTAAATTAATTGTCTATTTTGGGATATATGCAATATAATTAGTACTTTTCCTTTTTGGGTTATGTTGTCCTTTGACAATTCTAAGGGCCAAATAACATATATAAATTTGTAAATGTGACCTAATTAATAACAGGCAAAATGTCTTTTCTTATTCATGAATCACCATTTTCATATATGAGAAAAAAAGACAGGAAAAGTTCATAATAATATATTCGTGGCAAACCTATTAATTAATTAATTAATTAATTATGATTAGTTTATTATTTAATTTTATTTTCAACGTGTGGAAGAATCAGTGTTGTATTGCTTTCATTTTTAATTTGAATAAACTATCATATATATATATATATATATATATATATATATATATATATATATACATGTCCATCACGTCCCATTATGTGTCTTCTCTCTGCATTTATTTAATTATTAAATACATTTAATTAATTAGTTATATCAAATTTAGATCATAAATTCATAACCTTATGTATAAATATATATTTGCACAAGCTTGAATTTTCATGCATTAATTAGGATGTCAACTCCATTTTGCCTACAGGGAAAGTACAACATATACATATTTTTCTATTTATTTTTTTATTGATTTATATATATAATATTATTAAGACGACGGCATCAAGGCGTTGCGTATTCAGATCGAACGACACGATTTTATTAATTATTTATATTTAGTATATAGTTTGACAGCAAAATCTTGAATGGTTCCTTTTAGTATGTCATTTTTCTTGTTCAACTTATGTCATCTGCAGATCTAATTTAATTTCTTTTCTAATTAATAAGTGTTTCTTGGTTTTCTTGTCAGCTTGCATCGTCGGATGTTACGATGATCAGTTTTCGGATTCATTAACTATATTTCTCCTAACTTTTAATTCAGATACTCGAGTTTTGCGCTCGACTAATAGTGCAACTTGCAAAGATCGAAACTTTAATTTTTAAGCTTTTGCATCTTTTTTTTTCAATAAAACAAGAATATAATGCAAAGTCCCTCTTAATGTTGAATATATACCCTCCATATACTCATAAAATTAGTTATAAAGATGCCAATAAACAATATTCTTTAATTATCTTCTAAGTATTAAAAAATAAAAAATAAAATGAGAATCACATAGTTTAGTGCAGGCAGGATATTATTATTAATTTTTTTTTACAAATAAATAAATTAATGGTTCTGAAGAAGTGCTTAATACAGCAGTTGTTTGCTGTTATGATATATATATATAAATAATAAATATGCTTTTTTGTACTTAGTTTGGCTTTGGTTTTGTCAAGAGATTATTGTTCATTCCTATCCAGTTAAGGAATAAATTAAATTCTTTCCCATTGAATTGTCCACATATATTCACCACTTTATATTTATTTCATTAATTTCATCAAATAAATACATAACCATTTCCTACTGTTCATCTTTCCGATCATCGATCTTCCCCGAAATGCTCGAGATTTTCGATTAAAAAAAAAAGCAAGGATTTTGAAAATGAAGGGAATACAACAACAGCAGAGCTATGGATTTCCGGGTGATTTCCCCTCCGAATTTCCCGATAATAATAATTTCTCCGGAAATTATAATAATAATAACATTAATAATACTCAGCTCGAAAACCAATCATGGCATCCGAATTCATCGAGCACAATCATAAGCAGAATTGGATCGACACCAGCTTCTTCTGCTTTTTACGCAACCGAGCTTCTTATGGGCTTATCGAATTCCAATTTCCAATCCGGATCGAATATCTTCTTCGGTAATAATTCTCAGACAAGAATTACTCATGAACCGGATTTCTTGTCCAAAAACAATCAAAGATATCGAAATCTTGCAGAGAGCGAGCAGTTAATCCACATTGAAAACAAACTCCTATCTGATATCGACGATTCCAATACGATTAGCCCTTCTCTGCCTTTCGATGCAAATCTTGATCTTGAAGTAAGTACCCTTTATAATTTTTTTTTTTTAATAATTTCGAACTTTGGTTTGTTCATTAATATAATCTTTTTTTAATTACTTATATATGTGTATTTTAATAGGTGCCACAAAATATATATGGATCTTTTTCGACTACTACTACTACTACAACGAATAATAGCTTCCAATCCCATGCATCAGTTTCTTCGAGTAAGACGAGGATTAGATGGACGCAAGATCTTCACGATCGATTCGTTGAGTGCGTGAATCGACTCGGTGGGCCAGAAAGTAAGTCATGATAAATTTTTATTTTTTATTTTTTATTTAATTTAATGTATTTATATTCAGAAATGTTCGAATAATTTTATGAATTAATAAATAAAAAAAACAGAGGCAACTCCAAAGGCAATACTCAAGTTGATGGAAACTGAGGGACTTACTATCTTTCATGTTAAAAGCCATTTGCAGGTGTGCAATAAATAATAATTTTATTAATTTTTTTTTGTCTGAAAAAAAAAAATAATAATAAGAATCAGTTCTTTAATTTTGTAATTTGATTTTAATTTGTAGAAATATCGAAATGCAAAATACGTACCGGAATCTGACGCACCGGGAAAATCCGAGAAGAAGACTAGTTCGAACAATGCAGCACAGATCGACATTAAAACGTAACAAAATTTCTTAAAATAACATCTTACGTTAAAAAACGAGCACTTTCTTTTTTTCAATAATTTCATTTAAAAAATATATACGGTCGTTTTTTTTTGCAGGGGTACGCAACTTAAGGAGGCACTTCAGCTGCAACTAGACGTTCAACGGCGTCTCCACGAGCAATTAGAGGTAGTTCTAATTTTACTAGTACTAATTTTTTTTGAACTTCGTGTTCGGCGATAAATAAACAAAAACGACAACGATGCAGATACAAAGGAACTTGCAATTGAGGATTGAAGAACAGGGGAAACAGCTTAAAATGATGTTCGACAAGCAACAAAAGACAAAACGAAATCCGACGACCGAAGCAAGAAATACGGACAAGAAACCGGGTCCTTATAATAATAACCTATCCAGCACCACACTCGAAGAAGATACGGAGGTTCTTGTTTTCGATGGTAGTGACGATGAAATTCTCTTCCCGTACAAGATAAGCTAGAATTTCTCGATTTTCCTCCGAAAACAAAAAAACACCATTAGCAGTCATGCATGCATTCGGGTAAGGTCGAAAAAAGCTGTCCGGTAATCGAGGAATGATGTAATGAGAGATCGATAGCTTTCTTTCGAAGCAAATTTGTTCCGTCGTCCTAGTGAATCATACATAATATTCTTGTGGGCATATTGTATATTTGACAATAGAAAGGTTTTTGTCATTCGACTCGAGCACACAACTCGTAAACTCGGGGTTTCTATTTTTGCGGTTACGTTTTCTGTGTGGTTAATCGGTCGGTGTCGAACAGGATTCCGAGTTTCTTTTAGAGTGTGGATTCTTAAAGGGATACTATTTAAGTATCAGGATTGAAGAATAATTAATTGATTGGTTTTAGTCCCAAACTATACTTTAGCTTCTGTTAGTACTCAAATTTTTTTAAGACATGCATATATGTCGGGAAAAAGTACAGTTTTCGTCCCTCGAGTTTGTATCGATTTCATATTTGGTCCCATATGTTCACAAAAAACACATTTGGCTCCTCATGTTTCAAAAATTCAATATTTTTAGTCCTTTCCGTCAATTTTACGTTAAAACTAATGGAATCATGCGTGTGCCCATCAATAACTTAACTGACATACTAACGGTAAATTGCCGGAAATGACCAAAAGCGTTAAATTATCGAAATATGGGGGACCAAATATATTTTTTGTGAACATAGGGGACCACATGTGATATAGGTGCAAACTTGAGGGGTGAAACCATATATGTCTGTGACTGAAAATGTAAAAAGGAAAAAAGAAAAAAAAAACAGGGCAAACCGGAATCAACCTTAATTTAGATCGGCCCAACTTTTAATCATCGGCCAGGCCCAAATTCTATACGGGCTTAATTTTCGGCTTGAAAATAGAATTGCACGCAACTTTGAATTTAAGTATTGTGTAATTGCGGAAAACCCCTTTCTATTTAAGTAATTATAATTTATAACCACCCATCAACTATAGTCGGTGGAATCTTCTAGATTATGTGGAATATTCCCCATTTGTACTCGTTTTATCCCATTCGAGCTCCACTTTTTGAAGCAAGATGATCATCAGATTGTAGTACATCCAAAAATGTATTTTTGGCAAAACAATTATAAACTAGAAAACATTTCACGGAATCTAGAAGATTCTATTGAATTTGACACCATAAGGGTCGACGTGCTAGAAAAAATTAATAGTTGGTGGAAGTCGGTAATTACCCAAACATGAGGGTACTTTCGTAATTTACCTTACCTAAAGGGTAAAAAACACTAAAATACATATTTTCTGATACGGAAATGGATCGAAAACATATTCCCGTTGAAATTTCTTCCCGAGGGTTTTATAAAACCCTCAGCGCGATGAACGGAAAAATCAGAAATGCCCCTTTTCAGCTCGTCTTCAATCTTCCCCTTCTAGAAATTTTCTCTCTCATCAAGGTGAAATGAATTATTAAGCTTTTAATTTTCGATTTTTTTATTTATCCCCAAATTTTATCAAAAAAGAAAAAAAAAAGTTGTCGATGAGCAGATTACAGAAACTTAGAACACTCAGTTCTCTCAAATGGGTTCCATTATTATGCCCAGAAAGCAACTCCACATCATCAAAATCCAATCTTTATGTTAGTGGGTCCCACCATCTCTTACAGCATCTTAGGTTTTGTGGAACAGAGAGTTTGAAAAATGGCGGAAATCTCGGCGAACTTGCTAAGAAATCACGTGTGGTGAAACGAGAAGCACAAGCAGCTCTGTTGGAGTACTTCCATTTCACTAGGAGTTTTCAGATTATGGATGCTGAAAATATGAGCAAAAACACCCCCGATTTTTTCGACAGGCTGTTGAGGAGAGTGGATATACGCGGCGGCGGCGGCGGTGGTGGTGGTGGTGCCGAAGTTGGGAAATCAGTTTCTCGATTCTTAAGGTACAATCCCGTGAACGAGTTCGAGCCGTTTTTCGAGAGCATAGGTTTGAGCCCGAGTGAGTACTCGTCTTTTCTGCCCCGTAATTTGATGTTTTTAAACGATGATCACTTGTTGTTGGAGAATTACTATGTCTTGTGTAACTACGGCGTTGCAAGAAATAGAATAGGGAAGATTTACAAAGAAGCTAGAGCCGTTTTTGGCTACGATTACGGTGTTTTGAAGTCGAAGCTTCAATCTTTTCAAGATTTGGGGTTGAAACAATCTCTTGTTGCTAAGGTGATTGCTTCGAGCCCTCGTCTTTTATGGGGAGATGTTGATAAGGAATTTGTTATTGTTCTTGAAAAATTCAAGAAGATAGGTATAACGTATGATTGGCTCGAGGAGCATATTTCGATCGAGGATTCTTACGATTGGAAATGTATGCTTGAGCTCGTTTTCTTGCTAAGTGATTTGGGCTTGAGTGATGAACAATTAGGCGAACTTTTCGCACAACACCCTCCTCTATTGCTCGAGTCATCTGGTCGTGTCACATTTTGCTTATTCGGGTTATTATTGAAATTCGGCTCGAAAATTAGTGATGTGCAGACAGTATTTCTTCAATTCCCGCCGATATCAGTTTTGAAATTCACCGAAAATTTGTGCAATTGTTACGATTTTCTTGTGGAAATCAACATGCCCGTCGAAGAAATCGGTAAGATTGTCGGTTCGCACTCGTCTTTATTGGGCTCGTGCGAGCTCAAAAGTGTGAAGAGTTTAATGAGTGCGTTGAATTGCGGAAAAAACAGGCTATGCCAAATGGTGAAGGAAGATCCACGCTTGTTAAAGAAATGGGCACTCGGGAAAAGAGTCGACCCGTTACAAGAGCAAAAGAGGGTTCTCAAAGTACGAATGATGAAAACGGAGTTCCTTTCGAGCTTAGGGTTTGAGGAGAAAACGAATGATTTCGAGAAGGCTCTCAAAATCTGTCGAGGCAAAGGAGTTGAACTTCAAGAAAGATTCGATTGCTTAGTGAACATCGGTTTTAGCCGCGAGGAAGTTGTGGAGATGCTGAAAGCATCTCCGCAGATTCTCAACCAGTCGAGTGATGTCATCGAGAAGAAAGTCGGGTTTTTTGTGAAGGATTTGGGGTACAGTTTGTCCGATTTGAGAGTTCATCCGAAGATTATCTCGTACACAATTCCTAGGTTGAAGCTTCGGCTTTTGATGTATAAGTGGCTTAAAGAAGAAGGAGCGGTGCATCCGAAGTTGGCTTTAAGCACTCTTTTGTCGAGCTCGGACGATAAATTTGTGACACGTTACGTAAATTCTCATACCGAAGGGCCTGAGTTTTGGGAGAGACTGAAGAAAGAAATTAATTCGGACGAGAATATATAATTAATTACTTTTTTATTCGGTTTGAGTTCAACCAGCATAATCTTGGATTAGACGAACTATACAGAAAATCAGGTACACAACGAAGAAATGGATGTTTGTTCGTTCGTGGGATTTATTTCGCCATTAGTTATTTTTGGGATTTGATAACACACATTTCGAGTTATTATTTCGTTATAACTGTACTCTGTTTTGTTCCAATTTATTAGTACACAAGTCCTATATTAAGACATAAAGAAGAAGAAGCATGCTCTCTAGATTGTCTGCATAAATAAGCATGAAAAAAACTGTGTTCAAAATTGTATTTATTTGAATAAATTATATGTTTTCTTCCATTATTTCTTATGTCTAATTTCTCTTTCTCCTTTTGGATTGAAACTATTTTTAAATATCTTTATTCATAAATTCAATAAAATGAAGTTATATTCAACTGGTAATTCCAATTCAAAGGGTCGTGAATTATCAATGGAATTATCGGGTAAACGTAAATTGTCTGTTGATTTTTTTAAATAAGAATTTACATTTAATCTATTTTAAACTTTTCTTTTTTAAGATCTAATTTTAAAATTGACATCATAGAAAATCCTACTAAAGTTCATAAATTACAAACACTTCCATTTATTTGTAAATGAAAGACAAATTTTAAACATAATTAAATCTAAAAGTAGATCATTTTACTTCAACGACAATTTTATAACCATCTATGTTCTTAAATATGTTAAAAAATACCATTTAAGAAGTTATAATATTGTGTTTTCGGTGTTGCAGTTTCTCATTGGTTTACATCTTCATATAAATCCTGCGGACAAAGGACATTCATAAGCTTTGTTGCTCTGCGTAATCCCGAGATTGTTTCCTTGTTGATGATTGTTGCACACTACAAATAGAAATTTTCGTACAACTCGTTGGGTATTCAACCTGCAAAACATGTTATTGCTTATTTTGCATTTGATCTTTGCTCGAATATAATTTTTGTTTTATTGACAAAATATTTATTCTGCATTCGCTCTTTCTCTAGTATGATTTTGTTTTATTAACAATAGTATGCATTTGTTCTGCATTTGCTCTTTCTCGTATACATAATGATTCAATGATTGGTGCCTCTCAGGCGGGCCTTAGGGCTTTTAGGGCCCTAATGAAATTTATATTCAAAAAATTATGTAACATTCTTATTTTCTAGGGCGAATGCCAAATAAATCCATCAAATGAGACTTAAATAAATATTGGTTAACAAAAAAAATAGTCCTTCAAATAAATTCATCCACATGTCTTTATCTTAAAATACCATCCATAATATAATTCTTATAAATTCCATCCATTATGCTCTATAACTTCCTTAGTATTACACAGTGACCCCGGATTTAAACAAATATCACATTAACCCCCAAAATAATAATTTTTGAAAAAATATTTTTTTTTTCTGATTTTTTTTTCCGGTCAGATTCCGACGTTGACTTTTTATTTTTTTGAATCTTTTTTTTTTCTTTTTTCGATTTTTTTTTCTTAGAAAAAAATATTTTAATTAAAATTACTGTCTTGACTACTAAATTACTGTCTCACACAGTAATATTACTGTTTGTGACAGTAATATTATGAATATTATCTTCCCGAACAGTAATATTATTAATATTACTGTCTGAGACGGTTAAATTACTGTTGGAGACGGTAATTTAGTTGTCAAGACCAGTAATATTAATTAAAATAACCTTTTTTAAGAAAAAAAATTCAAAAAAAAAAATCAATTAACAGTTACATTACTGTCTCCGACAGTTAAATAACTGCCGGAGACGTAATTTAGCAGCCAAGACAATAATATTAATGAAAAATAAATTTAAGATAAAAAAATTCAATTAACAGTTAAATTACTGTCTCCGACAGTTAAATAACTGCTGGAGACAGTAATTTAGCAACGAGTACAATAATATTAATTTAAATATTAAGAAAAAGTCAATTAACATTAAATTACTGTCTCCAGCAGTTATCCAACTGCTGAAGACAGTAATTAGCAACCAAGACAGTAATATTAATTAAAATATTTTTGAAGAAAAAAAAAGTCAAATAACAGTTAAATTACTGTCTCCGACAGTTAAATAACTGTTGGAGACAATAATTTAGCAGGCAAGACAGTAATATTAATTAAAATATTTTTGAAGAAAAAGAAAAGTCAAATAACAGTTAAATTACTGTCCGGCAGTTAAATAACTATTGGAGACGGTATTTTAGTAACCAAGACAGTAATATTAAAGACTTTCAGTTGACCATATACTGAAAACAAAATGCTACAGATGTTAATCAGCAACGTTAATCACTGTGCATTACCAAAAACACACAATTGTTATGCAGTAAACCATGCTAATAGATAACTAGAATTGAATAAAAAATTACCTTTCTTACAACAGGGGTGATTGAATTGATTAACAGCAGGTATATGACAAAAACAGATAAAAGTTAAATTATCGAAAAAAAATATTAAGAATACAATTTAAACATAATTATCAATTTGTAATATACTTGAATGATAAAGAACAATTGGTTCAAATCAATAACAAATACACATCACAGTGAAACCAAAACAGAAAATACAATATAACAAATTGTCCCGATCTAATTTTCAAAGACTTTTCATGCCTCCGAGATAAATTTGACCCATCAACAGAGATTGATGCTACTGTTGCTGGAAAAAAAAAAAAAAAAAAGTCAACGCCGGAGACCGGCGGTCTCTGGTGGTGGCGGGTCAAAATTGGAAATTATGGTTAAAATTGATTAATTGATGAAATTGGGCTAAATTGGGACGTAAATCATGAAATTGGAGTTGAATTGGGTTTCAATGAATTGAGGGTAATTTTGGTATATATAAAAGGGTTATCCTTATTTACAAATAAGTTTGAATTAACTGGATTTATTTGAAATACAAAAAAGTTGAATGTTCCTCTTTTAATTAAATGCCCTTGTCATTGGCCTATTTGCCATTTGCCCTATTTTCTATTGTAACTCGGAGAGAAAGTTCTCTTCTATTGATAGGGGTATTTGACAATTAGAAATAATAGAGATTGTGTTATTTGTAATTAACTCTATTTATGTTTAATAAATAAAATTGAACTTTTTAGAATGCATTTGAAGCAATGTTATGTATTTATTTAATTATTTATGCCTATATAGTTTTTTTATTCTATTCGTTATAAGTAAAATGCAATTTTGATTTGAAGAAACAAAAAAAAAAACAAAAATAAAAGAAACATGGAAAACAATAGAGGGCATCGAAGCAAGAGAAGAATACAAAAAGAGGTTAACATGCATACCAATTTCCAATTAAAAAATCCACGTTTAAAACTTTAGGGTTAAATACAGTTTGCACCCCTAAAGTATACCCTCTGTTGAAATGTTAATACAATTTAATTTGTATTTTAAATGTTAATACCTTAAAAAATTGTTTTATTGAAAGGAATAACTAAAAGAATAATTAAATTATACAACTAAAAATATCTGTTGAAAAATACAATATTTAAAAATTTAAAAATATTATCTTGCGTTGGATACTTATTCAATAAATTACATCTAATTGTTGTTGGACCAACTAATCAAAAATACTCTATCGATTAACTTTAAGAAATCAATACATAACTAATATAAATATTAAGTATTTAAATTTATTTTAGTTCATTAATTTTTTTAAATATATTTTCATTCATTATTACTCAATACATATTACTTTTTAATTTTTTTTTCAACAATTAATTTTAGTTACTTTTCAATTTTCTATGAACCGTTAATTATTAGATTGTTATGTTTATTATTTTAAAATTTTAAAATATAAAATAATTGATGTTGAGGGGGTAAGTGTTACAAATGATACTTTAAGGGGTAAGTATTACATGAGCTATACTTCAGGGGTGCAAAGTGTATTTAGCCCAAAACTTTAATCTCGAAAAAAGAAAAGACCACGTGTTCTCAGCTAAATCCGATTGTCCTTGTCAGCATGTCTTCAACTAAATCAGATAGTCCTTGTCATCATGTCCACATCTTCTAGCTTCTTTTACAATAAAATAACAAGTTAACATATTATACTAATTAATAAATTCTTCAAAAAAATAAATTAAAAATAAATAAATTAAGAGCACTAGTACTTTTTTCTCCATTATAGGCGGCAATCTTACATAACCAATACGTAGACCACAACCCAATGCCATCCTAGCAGATAGAGCAAGCAAACTTCCTTGAGCATTTGCCGTCGGTGTCGGTGGCAGCGTTGGCTTCACGAGATTATACACCTGTGAAAGCGAAAGACCTAAACCTGCAAGTGCCAAAGGTACTGGCCCAAGAGGAATAGAGAAAGATAGGGATAGAGGACCAAACAGGAGTCCGTATCCGAGAGATAGCGGCGGCGACGGTAGGGCGGCGGCGGGAGCTGAGGTCTGGTCAACAATTTGATCTGTTCGTCGTTCATAACTTTCAGTATGTGTGGGAAGAAAGTGCTTAAAATGACGGCCACACTTTTACCAGTCGGTAGGAATCCTGGCGGCAAAGTTAAACACATGCTCTTTCAATATAAAGAGTCATATCATCGTATGTGTCAACGTATCAAGCAATGTTTTGGTCGCAGCATCCTTAACGAGCTCGACAGTATCCTTGACAAACTTGGGTTTATCCCCAATCTCATCAATTTTCCTGATGAACCAAAAATGAAATAGAATTAACAAATTAATACTGTAAATACGGGGAAATAGAATAAACGTAATTAATTAATACCACCACACCACTGCTATATATACGCAGAAAAACTCATCCAATGGCCTGTATTTCTTACTTCAGTCGTCATGGTTTAAGAACATCGTGAACATCAAATGGTGCAACTATTTCCTCAAACGCTTTTGAATACTTAGCGTGAACCTTAGTTGAAAGTAATCAAATGCATTTATGTTTATGTGATCAAAGGCATTTATGATTATTGTTAGAATTATTTCGTGCAAATTAATTATATATTTGTGTCCGATGAATTCCAGATTCAGTTTTAAATACCGTTTTACTGTTTTACGAAGAGTTGCAACAGTTAATGAAACAGTAATAAAAAGACACAAATTTTAAAGTGGTTCGGATACAATTGTACCCTACATCCACGGGGACCTGCAAATGAAATTTACTAATCTTTAGTTTTACGAATACAATAATAGGACTTAATCGAAATGCAAAGACTCCCTCTTTGTCGACGCCGTTCTTGTATACTACGCTGAATTATCAATCTTCACTTTGCAGCACGTCCTTGTTCCGCACGGTTGAAATTCCTTCAACGCTGAGTCCCTCAGTCGGCGGATCGACCTCCTCCCGAGATCTTCTGAGTTGT